AACAACCCCTTTAGAGGGCATCAGCACGTCGGTTGCATTTTAATACCCAGACGCGATAAGTCGGTCGCCACCCCCTCTGACCGAGCAACACAGAGCCGGACCTGACTCCGCCACTCGCATAACACCGCTACACGACAAACGCCCAATGATGTCATCGGCTCTTGGCACGTGTTGCCAGTGCTGCCGACCCGTCGCCAGCCGCCACCAGACACATGCCCCACCCGCGTGGCCGCCACCCCCTGCCAAGGGGGCATCGGAACTGCTTGATGAAACACCGCGTGGCAGCACCCCTAAATGGCGCCACCGCCTCTGCATTGGCCTCCCACCGCCGTCGCTAGCCCACAAGGTACGCGCCGGATCCAGCCGCCGGAGCTCCAAATCCGGCCGCCTAGGACCTAGACCCGGTGACCCGAGCCAACAATGATGCCACCGTCAAAGGCCGGAGGAAGGATGGGCGAAGAGGAGGAGATCCGCCACCGCCCACACGCTTGCCTAGACACATGTCGGCACTACCACGGCCATGACGGGACGCCTGCGCTTTGGCTCCACGCAGCCCACGCAGGAGGAGAGGCGCCGGGCAGGCAGGGCGGCAGCGACTGGGCATGGCGTCCGTCCCGGTTGTGGGAGTGAGCGAGGAGAGGATAAGGATGAGTGCGGAAGACAGCGTCTGGGAGACGGCGTGCGGCAGGGACGGGTCAGTTCAGCGCGTCTTTGGGTGCGTGTGGCAGGAGCGAGTCGGTTCGCACGGCTTTTTGGTGCGTCCGTTCCCATCCGGACGACCGTCATATATCATTATCGAATCTACAAAGGTAGCCTCTGGTTTACAGAAGCAACATCTCAAGAAAAATGAGATCCGACCTAGGAGGAACTAGGTGGTTTTCGTTAAGAAGAAAAAGACATCCAAATTCAGGTCAAGATGGGATTTGAACCTGGTTAGTCAGGTGTATTGCCACACCTCTCACCCAATAGGTTGAGCTAGGCTCACTTCCTCGAAGAAGCAACATCTCAAAAAAAAAAGCTCCAAAACACAACTCAAGTAGCAACTAATTAAGCATATCAGAAAATGGCCACCCATCTTTGACGAAAAGCTTTATTATATTGCTGCGCTCTCTAACATACGATATATCCATTTCAATCTTGAGTTATCATTCTCCTTTTGGAGGGTGGACGAGTAGCTAACCTGTCCAATAGGGTGGCCTTGAAAATGACATGGAAATAAGAAAAGTGTGTCTACTTTTTTTTCAAAAAATGTATCATCCTGACTCAACCAAATAGATCAGATTAGTGCATTCGCTCCCACACAATATTGGGAGCTCTTTAATTAAAATGAATGACTGTGGCGGAGACAATCTTGAAATATTACAGCCGACTGTGTGCGTGGCTCAGTGTGAAGTGTTTGGGGATCATGTTTATTCGTGTTGGATCGAATCTCCAAGTCAACAAGATGACCATTTTATTGTTTGTTTTTATAGTGCCGGGAGACATGCTAGTACTTCTTTTCGTTCCCAAAAGAATGTAATTCGAGAAATAGTATCATGTTTTAGTATACATAGTTTGACCAATTATAGATGAAAAAGAATAAATATTTATAATATCAAATAAATACTATTGAATTAATTACAAAATGTATTTTCATAATAAATATATTTATAGTTATAAATATGAATATTATTTACTAAAATTTGGTTAAACGTAAAACATTTTAACTAATACGTATACCATAGTTACATCCTTTCCAAGATACTACTACAATACATACTCCATCAGTAAGGTGAGGGATTCCAACCCTATTTGAGCTTGTTGTGCTGCTTGAGGACTTGACTACGGGCAAAATACAAAGGAATACTAAAGTGGCCAGGAAAAGAATCGGGACACTGATGTAATCAAGAATATCTTTACACATCAACCGTCGTCTTATACTCCTAATTTTAGCTCATGAGAGAGCATACTACAGTCTGTTTCAGTTTAAAGGATCCAGAAGAGTCAAAGTGTTGTGTCACTGGTCAACTTACCCTGCTTTGTCTTTTCTGATGCTTCGGAATCCATATGTGCGGCTAAGTGCTTGGTGCTTGCATGTTGCATTCGTCTAATTTTGATAATGCCATTTTGTTTTCCCTTGGTTATTGTGCTGGAGGGTGATGTTCATTTGCTGACGATATATAAATATTAACTGATCCTTTTGCTAGTAGCAGCACATTTCATTTAGGCAGATTTTGCTGAGAAACATGGAATTGGCCAGTTCACATCGCCAAAGTCGAAATTTGCTGAGTACCATTACAAATTCGTGGTTCTTTGCCGAGAGACACTGATTATTTTATTTATTTCTTAGTTTTGAAGAAAGAGAAGGTGGAAGAAATGTCTTCTTTGTCCTCGTCTTCAACCTCACGCGCGACATCATTGGCTAAGGACCGGTACCCCTCTGCAACCCATCCCTACCCACTCCAACTCCAAACTAGAGTTGCGGCCAACGTGCAGCTGGCGGCAGCGCAGGTGCGCCTAGTGGAGGCGCTAGCAGAGCTGGAGCGGGTGCAGGCACACGCACGGCACCTCGAGCAGGCCTACAGCAAGGCTGCCACCTCATCGAGGAAGCCCATGGCCGGATCCTCGAGATCCGCATGCGCCTCCACAAGCAACATGACATCCGTGCAAAATCGTAGAGCCCAACGGAAGCCATGGAGATGACCGGATGAGGGAGATCGAGAGCTTGTGCAGACCTTGGCAATGGCGGCGGCAGCACTAGCTATCGGCTCTGGAGTGGGCGAGAGGACGTAGCGAGTGGCAGAGTGGTGGTAGTGAGCATGCAGCGCTCCTGGCTGATTAAGCAGGAGAAAGCGGGGGAGAGGTGCCCGGCCATGAAGCTTGGAGGCCATTAATGGCGCCGGGTTCAACTGGAAGAGAGACAAGGGGAGGAGACGGAGGTAGGAGGAGGTGCTGATAGGGAGGGCCCACTGGCAGCTAGAGAGAGAGGGATGGCACCAGTGGGCTGCCGCCGAGCGGCTCATGTGGGCAAGGCAAGGCAGGGTCAGGCCAGGGGCAATATTGTCTATTTACGCTCCTTTTTCTCTCCCAAAGTATGAAAATGAATATTTTAATAGCAACAGTGTACTCTAGCAAATAACTTGGTTGTAGTGGTACTAGGCTAATTACTGAGTTGGCGGTGTCCAACGGCAAATTTCACATTTAAGTGTTGTCCGTCAGCAAAACTTGCCTTTGATTTTCTTGAGCACTCTCCGCTTGGTTACTACTGACCTGAAATGTCATATATTGAGTAGTACATATTTTACTGCTACTGATTTGAGAGTATTTTTGAAGACAGGAAAAAGAAAGACAGGGAGAGAGTAATGGGTGGATATTAGATAATGTATTTGTTTTTTTTTTGGATAATAATGGCCTATTGTATTAGTTGAATGTAATCTTAAAAAAAATATGCACACCAGACACCTCAACCATGCTAGTTGAGAAAATCCTTATGCTTACAAAGCATGAAATCGAACTCCCGACCGATTGCTTCTCTCGTCATCTGGGTTTCGACCACCGAGCTACTTGGGTGACTTTGTCAATCTCTTTGGTCGACATAATATAGTGTTTTGCTCTTCATGTAAATACTCCAGGCTCTCTCGTTTGCACACGTGTTGTATTTTGTATTTTTGATAGAGAAACTAATAAAAAGAACAAATGTATTACTCACTACCGGATACAGGAGCTTTGCCGAGTGCCAGGAGCACTCGACGAAGTCCCAAAAACACTCGGCAAACCCTTTAACAGCAAATGTTAGTTTGCCGAGTGTTTTTTTGCAAGGTTCTAGATAGCGGAATATAGCGTCCGCTATAGTGGGAAATAGCGGTTGAGCAGGGCGGCCGCTAGGCATCGACACTTTTCGCACTATGAGATCGCTGACGCTAATAGCGGCTAATAGCGTGCGAAATCAGCTAAATCAAGGTTCATTTAGCGCCGCTATACAACCAAAATCGACATGGGCTTTGAATTCTGTTGGGCTAAAATCGCGCAGGCCCAAAACAACTCGATAGAGCTGGTGGATTGAGCTGCGTTGTCATTCTTCTTGAAATCTCAGCGACCAAAAGTGCCGGCGGCGGCGACGTCGGTGGCGGCGGGCGGCTGCGAGCCTGCGACTTGGCCTGAGGTACGAAACAGGAGCTGCAAGCCATGAGGAAGATGCGGACGCAGCCACCTTGGGCCATCTGCGCGCTGGCCAGGTATTGTCAGCAGCCTTCGATTAGATTAGATATGATTTGGTTCTTTCTGAACAAAGCAATACCGATGAGCATCTTTATACTCAAGTTCGTGATTAAACTATACCGATGAGCATCTCTGCATCTCTGAATTTTTGATTTATGTTCAGGATGAAAAAAAATTCATGATGGAAAAAAAAATGCAGAAGTCCATCTTATTATGTCAGTGATTTCTCTTCCCCGTCTTATTATGGCAGTGATTTCTGTTGCCGTTGCTCATACTGTCAACATTCATACTTGATTAGATTTATGTGAGTTGATTAACGATGCCTGCTTTGTCAACTTTTTATACCGGCGACATGATGGTCGGTAATACCTTGACATATTTTTTCTTAGCCGCTAATTGGCTTAGTCCGCTATTTAGCCCGCCATATCCTTAGTATTTGAGAGAGGCGGCCACTAAGAGACTTAGCCAGTTATTTAAAACATTGGATTTTTAAAACACTCGGTAAACTTTTTTTTCAAAAAAAATAAAAAAAAAGACACGTCGACGCCACCTCCGCACCAACAGCACCGCCGCCGCCGCCACCATCCACGCCGCCGCCCGCACCACGCCGCATCCGGTACCGGCTGTTGATTTTTTTAAGGGGGGATTTTTTATAGTATGGAAATTGGATTGTTCCATTTAACAGCCCCCATACTCTGTCTTGCGGGTCCCACTGTGTTTCCCTTTCCCACTGTGCCAGTCTGCCAACTGTTTTCCCCTTTCCAAAACCAGAGCCGTGGACGCTCCGCCCCCAGCCCCCACCCATGGCGCCGCCGCAGCTGCCGCCCGAGATCGTCGAGGACATCCTCCTCCGCTTCCCACCCGACCACCCGGCGCACGTCGTCCGCGCGGCCCTCGTGTGCAAGCACTGGTCCCGTCTCATCGCGGGTGGCGACTTCCGCCGCCGATACCGGCAGCGCCACCGGGAGGCCCCCGTGCTGGGGCTCGTCGCCAACCTCGCTGACACCGGCGGCGCCGCCCGCTTCGTCCCCACGCGCTGCGCCTTCCGCCCGGCCCGCACCGAGCGCCCCGGCTACCGCGCGCACGACGCCCGCCACGGCCGCGTCCTCCTCAATAGGATGCGCGCGCCCCCGGGCCAGGAGGCGGCGGAGGACTCCGCCCTCGCGGTCTGGGACCCCATCGCCGATGAGCAGCGCCGCCTGCCCCTCCTGCCTCGGCCCCGGTACGTGCGCACATGGAACGCCGCGGTGCTCTGCGCCACCGCCGCCGCCGCCTGCGACCACCTCGACTGCCACCGGGAGCCCTTCCGCGTCGTCTTCGTCGGCATCGACGCCAAGGAGATGTTCGCCCACGTCTACTCTTCGGAGTCCGCCGCGTGGAGCGAGGCAACGACCGCAGATCACCCAGGTGATGACCAACTCGACGTCGCCTTGCCCGGCGTTCTGGCCCGCGACGCGCTCTACTTCCTGCTCCACGGGAGGGAGACCAGGATACTCAAGTGCGATCCGGCCACGCTGGAGATGTCTGTGGTTCGCCTACTGCGTATCCACTCCTATGCTCCGCGCATCGTGCTCATGACAATGGAGGACGGCGGGCTGGGATTCGCGCAGGTGGACTTGAATTGTACACTCAGACTCTGGTCCATGAAGATTCGTCCAGACGGTGGTCTGGGGGCAGATGGAGATACACGAGAGTGGGTGATAAGCAGAGCCATCGACCTCAAGGCGCAGCTCTTTACTCCTAGGCAGCTCCCTCCTCACGCCCTCGGTTTTGATGCCTCACCACTGTGTGTGGTGGTTGCCTTTGCGGACGGCGCCGGCGTCATCTTCCTCAAGACGAATGATGGTCTCTACTCTTTTGATCTCAAGTCTGATGAGGCCGTGAAGGTTGACATGAGCAGTGGCTTCTACGACATTATTCCCTTCATGAGCATCTACACTCCAGGTACTGTACATCGTTGTGATTTCTCTATAAAATTTGGATTTGTACTTTTATATAGGCACGCTGGCAGTTGCAGCCAATATTCAGTATGGGGGAAATTTTGGTTGGTCAACATTGATCTTTATTAAATTGTTTTCTCCCAATGTCATACTGCTGAAACTGTGATGCACACCCACTGTCATGTACTCTATTTCGTTATGTCCACTGTTGAATTTGGCTACATATATATGCTGTAGAAATTTCTTCATCTGTTATACTACCTTTTATGGACACATGATGGGATCCACAGAACCTATCTAGCAGGAAATAAACTGTAAAAGGCCATTATTAGTACCAGTATGATCGAGATTTCTGCACTCCAGTTATCAGCCTCACACATGTTAGAGGCGTATGTCATGGGTCTACCTAGTTGCTAATAGCCACGCCTCAATTAGAGGCAAATCTGTTCATCCTTGCCTTAGTTAGCTGATTGGATTAGATTGAAAGGTCGGAGGAATAATAGGAAAGAAGAGAGGAACTATAGGAAGTGTTAGCCAGGGAGGGTATTTATTTGTAACCCAAATGGGGATTCCTGAAAAAAAGAGCAGGAATTAGAAGGAAAACTCTTCCCTCTTGCTCAGCCATGGGCAAGGCCCCCGGCCGGCACTCTCTCTCCCTCTCAACCCTAGCCGCCACCATAACATCTGGTATCGGAGATGCCAGGTTCCGATGGCGACAAGTAGCCAAAGGTGTCGCCGCCGGATCCCATCGCCAAGGCGCTGGCCGACCTCGCCGAGCAGATGGCGTCCCTTTAGGCGCGTCTGGAGGCCCTGGAATCCTCACCGCCGGCGACCAACACCACCATGCCGCCGGTGTTCCCCTGTTGCTTGTCAGGCTGTGGGACGATAGCCGTCTTGATGCCAAATTTGAAGATAAAGGAGATTGTGCGGGAGGAGTAGAGTAAGAAGAGTGCCCACCAGGTATCAGCGGTGCTGAGGCTGCAGGCGGCTGGCCTCCTAGTGCGTTGGCGGGTGCAGGAGATGCCACTAGCACAACATCGATTTTCTTAGGCGGTCAAAAAGGCTTTACAGAGAGGGGCAGCACGTCTGCCTCAAAGCCTACACATGCGTTAATCAAAATTTCGTGAGACAGGCCATAATGCCTGCCTTCGGAAATGAATAATAGCAAACAAAAAAATCCCATTAATTAATGAGCCCGAGCCCACCAACGCAGCCGCCACCGCTGCCATGACCCTGCATCGTCACCGGCACTACGGTCATCGCCGGATCCATGCCCTGTTGCCACCATTGCCCTCCTCACCGCCCCGTTCGAATCCACCATCCGCGCGTGTGAATCCGCACCCACCGCATGTAGATCCACCACCATCGCGCATGGATCTGCCTCCACCACGTGTGGTCGTCGTCCTTGCAGATCCACCATCGGTCGCCGCTGGAGGAGGAGCTCGCCCCAACCCTCGCATCGCCGCTACCAGATCTGCGAGAGAGAGAGAGAGGAGGAGGAGGAGGAGAGAGAGAGAGAGAGACTGCGTCTCACCGGATCTGCTCGATGGTGAATGGCGCCTCACTAGATCTAGCCAGCACGCTTCCACCTGGCGAGAGAGACTGCGTAGGAGAGATGTCGGTGGAAAGACTTCGCACGGAGGGATGCCGTCGCACGCGCAGGAGAGACTACGGCGGCCGAGGGATCTAGAGAAGAGGGAGGGAGAGAGACTGGTACTCGGGTATGGTCCCCTTCCGTATATACATGAAGGGTTAAAATGGGCTTTTGGGCTAGGCTTTGGTTAACAGAGGCGGACCTCTTAAGAGGTCCATCTCCGAAAATGGCATATATTTTTTGAGGCGGACCTCTTAAATGGCCCGCCTCCGTTAATCGATTCTAGGAGGCACTAGTATTTTGCTCATCTTCATAAATAGGTTGACCATCTTGTAAAATGGCTGGACATTTTAGGAGATGCTTATTATTTGTGTTGGCCTCCATTAATAAATTTGGCTCTCCAAAAATCTTTTTTATAGTAGTGTGCGCGATCTATAGATGATTCAGCCAAGCACCCCTTCGCAACTCCTCCAACTTGCGCATCACCACACGGAGGACCTCGATCTCATCCGCCGCGTCGGGGATCTTGGGCATGCTGTTCCTCCCATGGGCGGCGTGCATGTTGTTCCCCCCGTGGGCGGCAAACTCAGAGTCTGCGGCGGCGGCGGTTGGGGAGGCGCACCCCTCCTCACCGTTCTCCATCGGAAGCCATCCTCTCTTCCCTATGTGGCATGGACCAGCAGCCAACCAGCGGGGAGAAGGCATGGGCCAACGGCAGACACGCACCGTGTAGCGCCACCGCATTCTGCCGTCAAACACAGCGAGGGGCGCTTCCGCTGGTTGCTGTTGCGGCACGATCATCTTTCTGCTTTCTCGGTGATACGCATGCCGATGGCGCAGATAGGCGAAGCTCCATTTTATTCGTCAAGATGGGTGGATGTAGTTGTTGTGCCTAGCTCATCCATTCTGATGGGGCTAGGTCTGGGCTCTTGGAGTGGATAGATGTGGTGGCCAAACTGCATCGGCGGTTGTGCCCTTGTTTCTTCAAGATGTCAGCCCATGTGCGGACTGCTCCAGGGGATCCAAGTGGTTATACGTGTGCAGTTATTGCATTCAGACGGTGTCCACCTTCCATTGAGGAGGCCACCAAAATAAAAGGTCCAAATCTATTTCAGGTTGAGAATAATAAAATGGGTTGAGATAAAAAAAAGGCTTATTTTAGGTGTTAGATATGTGTCGTGTGAAGTCATCATTATAAATTGGTTAGGTTCCAGCTCGAGGACGAGCTGCTTGTCTAGGAGGGGTGTAGTGTTAGAGGCATATGCAATGAGTCTACCTAATGCTAATAGCCACGCCTCAATTAGAGGCAAATCTATTCAAGCTTGCCTTAGTTAGCTGATTGGATTAGTTTGGAAGGTTGGAGGAATAATAGAAAAGAAGAGAGAAATTATAGGAAGTGGTTAACCAGGGAAGCTATTTATTTGTAACCCGAATGGGGATTAGGGAAAAAAGTAGGAAATAGAAGGAAAATGTCCCTCTTGCTCGGTCATGGGCAAGGCCCCCGGCCGGCCCCCTCTCTCCCTCTCAATCCTAGCCACCACCATAACATCTTGTATCAGAGATGCCATGTTCTGATGAGGGCGACAAGCAGCTGAATGGGCTTCCGCCGGATCCCATTGCCAAGGTGCTGGCCAACCTCACCTTGCTGATGGCTTCTCTCTAGACGCACCTAGAGGCCTTAGAATCTTGACCGCCGGTGGCCACCACCACAATGCCGCCGGTGTTCCTCTACGTCTTGCCGAGCTATGGGATGACAGCTGTCTCCATGCTAGATTAGATGATGAAGTAGATTGTGCGGGAGCAGCTGAGTAAGAAGAGTGCCCGCCAGGTGTCGGCGACGGTGTTGCTGCATGTTTATGCATGTGGCCTCCTAGTGCGTCGGCGGGTGTGGAAGATGCGTGATCTGCAGCTGTTTCAGCCCTAGTTGTGCATCGCCACGCGAAGGACCTCGATCTCATCCCCACGTCTGGGATCTTGGGCATGTTGTTCCTCCCGTGGGTGGCAGACATGTTGTTCCCCCCATGGGCGGCAAACTCAGAGTTTGCGGCGGCGGCGGTTGGGGAGGCGCACCCCTCCTCACCATTCTCGATCGAAAGCCCTCCTCTCTTCCTTGTACAGCGTGGACCAGCAGCCATTCGGCGGGGAGAAGGCATGGGTCACTAGCAAGTGCGCACCACGTAGTGTCGCCGTATTACGCCATCGACCGCCACGGGGGAGCCTCCACTGGTCGCTATTGTGGCACGTCCACCTTGTTGCCTTCTCGGTGATGCGCATGATGGCAGCACCGATAGGCGGAGCTCCATTTTCCTCGACAAGATGGGTGGCTGCAATTGTTGTGCATAACTCATACGTTCTGATGGGGCTAGGTCTGGGCTCGTGGCTCGGGATAGATGTGGTAGCCTAGCTGCATGGGCTGTTGTGCTCTTGTTTCTCCAAGACGTCTGCCCATGTGCGGACTGCTCCCATGGGATCTAGGTGGTTATACGTGTCCAGATATTGCGTTCGAATGGTGTCCACCTACCATTGAGGAGGTCGCCAAAATAAAGAGTCCAAATCTATTTCAAGTTGAGAATAATAAAATGGGCCGAGATGTAAAAAGCTTGTTTTTAGATGTTAGATCCATATTGAGTCGACTCATTATTATAAGTTGGTTAGGTTGCAGCTCGAGGAAGAGCTACTTGTCTAGGAGGGGAGTAGTGTTAGAGGTGAATGTCATTGGTCCACCTAGTGGCTAACAGCCACACCTCAATTAGCGGCAAATCTGTTCAGCCTTGCTTTAGTTAAGGCTTAGTTAGCTGATTGGATTAGTTTGGAAGGTTTGAAGAATGATAGGAAAGAAGAGAGGAATTTTAGGAAGTGGTTAGCCAGGGAGGCTATTTATTTGTAACCCAAATGGGCATTAGGGGAAAAAGCAGGAATTAGAAGGAAAACACTTTCCTCTTGCTCGGTCGTTGGCAAGACCCTCGGCCGGCCCCTCTCTCCCTCTCAACCCTAGCTGCCACCATAACACACATTTTCAATCCTCTGTACTCCTTAGCTAGTACCTATGATATGTCACTTAACAACATTGAAGTATGGAAGATGAGTTAAAGAGATGGTATATGTTATGACCGGCATGCAGTACTCCCGGCATCGGCATACTAGTGGCTAGGATGGCGCCGGCCAATAGGGGCTAATGGCCTAGATTTGTTCCCTGATTGTGTTTTCTTTAGTTTAGGATCTCAGTCCTTGAATTTAGGATCTGAGAGTTGGTTGTTTAAGAAGGGATAAATACCCCCAAATAGTGATTAAGAGGAATTAAGCAAAGCAGTGATTTGGTTGCTAGGCTTCGCCTGAAGCCCTCTCGTCTCTCTCGCTCCTTCTCGCGCCGTGATCACCATGACGCCCACTCACTGCCGTCTGCCTAGACC